TCTGTCTGCTTCCTGGACACCGTGAGGTGAGCAGTGTCCCCCAGGGAGGACTCTCCCCCCACCCACTGCTGCCCTGGGCTCCACCACCCATGAGGCAACTTCGGAAACTGCAAGCCAAAATGAACCTCTCCCTCCTCAAGCTGTGGGTGTTGGGCCTGTTGGAGCAGTGAGGAGAGAGTGACTGAGACAGTGATCAGGAACGTCCGTGCATCCCCGTCCTCCTCACGGGGGGGGGCACCTGACATGTGAACACTTCAGGTCAGTGAAAGTGGGTTCTGATTAAACGCTAAACTGAAATCGGGCCTAGGAGTTCCTTCTGACGTTCAGAGCCGACTCTGCGGTCCTGGGAGAAGAGCCAAAGGGAATCTCCGTTATTCAAACCCTGAGCACCAAAGCAGAACAGCTGTGAGCCCACTGATGTTCAAAAGCACTTGGAGTCCTGGCAGTGAACTTCAGTCTAACCACGGGAGAGGCTGCTAGAGTCGGGCAGGATGGGAGGGAATGGGGAAGAAGGCAGGGAGGGGGAGCAGAAGAGGGAAGCAGAGAAGAGACAGGGAGGAGGGGACAGGAGGAGAGGCGGGGACAGGGAGGAGCAGAAGGAAGTAGTAATGCTGACCTTCAGTCTTTCTGGACACCCAAGCATTGATGTGTTTCCTGGATCTCTCAGCATCTTTGGTAAAGGACAGCTGCTCCAGCTTGGCCTGGTAGAACTGCAGACAGGACTCCTGAAATGACTGTGGACAGAGACACAAAGGGTGAGGCCATGGCCCTGCACAAAAGGTCAGCACGCTGCTGAGCATTCTGAGTACTACCTGGTCCTTTGACAACATATACATGGCACATGTGGCTGTTAGTAAAGGTCACACTGAGTCTACAAGATGTCAAATACCAGATTCTAGGTGGGGATGTGCTGAGTCTGGACTAACTGGACATGAATGAAAGAACTCAAGAGAGCCTCACACAGGAAATCACACAAGGCATCCTTAGAGCGCTGCCGTCATTTGAAAAGGCAAGCTTCCCCGTCAGTTCCCAAGTTCTCTGGCGTCCTCCCCCTGGGCTCTGGGCCACCAGGTATTTTAAATTAACTTTTCGTGTTCTGTAAACTGAACTCACGGAGAGGAACTGGCAGCTCTCTTCTCCAAAGAGCCCGTTGGCTATGCTGAGGGTGAACGGAGCACCTGGCCTGTGCACTTGGGTGAGAAGCGACTGGAAGCCCTGGTGGATGTCATTCTCGGTGTTTAACGCCAGCGCCTGTGAAGAAAGTTAACGCACATTGTCAGTAGTGTCCTCTGGTCTCGCAAAGCCTTTACAAAAAACTCTTTTTTCAAGTACTCCATGAAATGATCCTTGAAGAACTTGATTTTCTTCCCTTTTTTTGAGCTAGGATCTCAATGTGTAGGCAGATCGGCCTCAATTTCATGGCGATCCTGGTGCCTAAGCCTCCTGAGAGCTGGGATTCCTGGCATGGAACACATCACCCAGCGAGTCTGCTTTGCTTTGGTTGAGCAGAGCGTCCTACAGAGGAGCCACGGGTGGGGTGACGGACAGATCGGAGAGGGGCAGGAAATGGGGTCAACGCTGTGGTTCTTCTGCCTGCTCTAGATTCAAGGGCAGTAAGGGAAAATGAAAAGGGCCAGAGAGGCTCAGAACAGAGCTGTTATAAAGCCTGCATCCCCTGCTGGGCAGGAATACGCCAGACAGGGAAGAAAATTATCTTCAAAACTTATTTCAAAAAGAAATAAATGGTTAAAAACACCAAAACTGCAAGGAAATATGCAGGAATAGAACCACAGTGGGACTCTTCAAAGGAAGTAAGGGTATAAGAGAAGCAACAGGATTAACAGATCTAAAACAGAGTTCTTAAAATTGTATCCTACAGAGATTATTTATTACATATATTTTAAGTGTTACTTTAATATTTTAAAAATATATATTAAGCTATAGAAAAAGCTCAATTGATTCTGAAATCCAAACATTATAAGATTACAGCTCAGCACGGTAGTGCAGGCCTGTAATCCCAGCAATCTGGGAAGCTGAGGTAGGAAGACTACAAGTTTGAGCTCAGTCTGGGCAATTTAGGGACTGAGCAAGATTGTCACAAAATAAAAAAGGGCTGAGAATGTTGCTCAATGGGAAGATCTTGAGTTGTATTTCATAGTACGGAAAAAATAAATTATACAGGTTTTAAGCTCTGACATGAATGTAGTATAGGAGAAATCAAAACTACTAATAATACATCAATAAGATGGAAATGACCATCTTATGTAAATATTAAAAACACTTCTCTATGCCTGGAATGGTGGCAGACAGCTATAATCTCAGCACTCTGAAAGGATGAGGCAGGAGGATCTAAAGTTCCTGCCCACCCTGGCAAACCAGGTAATCTAGGAAGATTTTCAAACAATTTTTAAAGGGCTTGAAATGAACAGTTTTTAACAGGGCTGACTCAGTGTGAAGGCTCTATGTTCATTTTGGAGTAGTTAAAGAAAAAGAACTCTTTTCTAAGTACATAACTCTTGCACCTCACAATCACAGTGCTACTCTATTCTACGTAAATTATGGTTCCAAGCATACACCTGTAGTTACTCTGAATCAAACATTATGCAATTAATACTATAGGTATCAAAACATCAGTTGTTCCATATATATATTTGATTCTTAAGCTTTCGTGTATAAGTTAAAAATGTATTTAGAGTTTTTAAAACCTAGAAAAAAGAAGATATAACTCTAGTCATGAACATGAAAAAATAGGTAACGGAAAACTGCTTCTTAAAAGAGTTAGGTGATCTTTCAAAGAATTTTTTGTAACATTCAACAATTTTCTTACTGAAGACACTGTAGCTGCCGGACAAGTGGGAAGAGGCTCCCTCACAGAGATCCTCAGGGAGCTCAGAGCCTAGAGGACCCTAAGAACCACCAGTAGGAATTGCCCCCTGGGCATCTGCTACACAGCCTCCCACAGTGAGCAGGGAACAGGGGAAAAAGAGCTCTCATTACTGAGAGGGTCCTCCGGGGAGTGCGGGTCACACTGAGACCCACATGACGGAGCAGAGCACGCCCTGTGCAGAGCTCCACGCAGGGCCAGCAGGTGCCAGGGAGCGGCCTTCTGGGTTTTTCTCAACACCTGTCTCCTGCCGGCCTTGTGATCCCCTAGGACAAGGACTGGCCTAAGATCTTTCCTATGAGCCCTGAACGACTCGCCCATGGCTCACATTGGAGCTTCGTGGGTCCCTAGAGCAATCAAGTCCTCCTTTCTGGCCTGGTCCAATCCTGTTCTGTTTGTCCCCTCCCTGAGATAGCAGGGTATCAGTGATAATTACAGCTGCAAAGTCTTGTGCTCCAAAAGGAAACAGGTCTCAGGGACTTATGTTTCAAATAATTCCAGCATCCTTTTCTTTCCTTACCCCTCTGTGGTGCTGGGGATCAAACAGGAGGCAGTGCTCACCACAGCACCACTCCAGCCTCAGCTCATTTCCTCAACAAAGTGCCAGGCAAAATTTCGTGTATTTTCTGGGTTATTATTTGGGGAAGATCCCCAGTCTCTCCACAACCGCAACAAAAAACAAAAACCTCCTGTCATGGAAGGAGATGGGGAGAAGCCAGCATACCTGGACCATCTGGGCCGCCGTGCTGCCCTTGGCTCCCAGAAGGACCATGGCCAAGACCGAGGAGACGCTCAAGGGAGAGTAGAAGACATTGCGTGCAGGGTCCTCCTGACCGAGAAGCTTTAAAAGGCGGATGGCAAAGGTGCCATTGGCTTCCGACAGCGTGTTCATGGTGCAGTCTAGAGGCAAAGACCAGAGGGCCACGTCATGCAACTCACCCCACTGTCAACTGCCCAGAGTTCCGGTCTCCTGGACAGTGTGCTTTTGGTTTCCATCGCAAAGCTTCCTAATATTTTAAGCTGGACCAAAAAAAATGCATTCACTGCCACTCTGTTTCCAAACCTATGCCCAGATTGCAGGGGAATTAGTCAAGTGTGATGGGGGCAGCAGCCCAGAGCAGCCTGCGGGCCTCAGAGAAACCACAGACACTCTCATCTGCACAAGCACACAGGCAGATGCGAGGGCGGGAACTCACACAGGACAGGGCTGGGCCAGATCAACTCTGCTCCTTCCGCATAACGACCACCTCCTCCCTTCCAGGAGCAGGACTGAGTCAGGGGTGAAGAGGAGGAAGAAGGGGTGGGGGAAGAGGAGGCACAGAGAGGAGACCCAGAGTGAGGAGCAGGGAGGACCTCTAGCCCGGCCTCAGCATCCCTCCTGTGCTTATTCTCGCCTCTGTGTGTGGAGAATCCTTGTGTGATTTTCAGCTGTGCACCAGGCTCTGAATGCACACAGATGGGAGCTGCTGCCTGAGGCAGGCTGAGGTCCAATCCGCTGTGAGGCCAGAGCCTTCTGCTGCAGGGACAGCTCAGGGTCCGGCCACCTGAGGGCGCCAGGCTGCTGTCTCTCCTGCCCTGCAGCCTGTGTCCCTGAGGGTGGGCTGCCTGCATCCAGCTCAGAGTTCCTCCTCATCCTGCCCTGTTCTGGAAATCATGTGACCGAAACCCTGGACTCAGGGAGAGAACACTGTTGTTTCTCCTGTGTTTGCTTTCACTTTCCCTAAGGAACTGAGGTTTCCCTCAGAAACTGGGGGCGCGCCCCTCCCTGTTCCCAGCTCACCTGGGGGACCTCCCTGGGCCTTCCCTTCAGCGCTCTTTCCCCACCCATTCCCAAGGCCTGCTTCTTCCCCTCCCCCAATCTCTCCACCTCACACTCAGACCCAGGGTCTCATAAACCACCCAAGCTCCTCCCCAGACCCCTTGTGTCCCTGCTACTCTGGTCCCTGTGTCCCCTGCCTGTCCTCACCACCATGCAAATCAGCGCAGCTCCCTGCACACCACTGCTCTACTTCAGGGCTGACCCCGCCCATTCCCTACTCCTGCAGCCCCCTCCGCCCATCCTGGTCCCTCACAGTGGCCCCTGCGCCCTGGCCTGGGCGCTCCCATCTCATCCCGCATCTCAGGGCCGCCCAGGCCGCCGCCCTCCCCTCCCTCCCTCTTTCCTGGCCGAAGCCGCCCTCCCTGCTGCGTGCAGCCTCTCCCAGGGACTGCGCCCCTCCTGTAGGATGTGGGGACAGGAACTGATTCCCACAGGGGACGCAGGATCTGGAGAAAGAAGGCTTCTGTGCCTGGGGACGTGTGGCAGGAAAGATGGGATGGGTAGGGGCACCGAGTGCAGAGACTGGGACTGGACCAGAACTTGGACGGACAGGAGCCACCAGGGCGGTGCTGCTGCAGGGAAGACGGGGCAAGCGAAGCGGCCAGAGCAGCCCAGGGAGCAGGACCGCCTGCACAGTCAGCTTCCCAGCTGCAGGCGCCGCCGGGCTGCACCGCGTCTCTCCGCGCCCGCTCTGAACGCAGGTGGGGAACCTGGTCAGTTGCCACCCAACCCGCCACACCCCGGCCTCACCTTTCCACCGTGCGCCGCCCCACGGGAGCCTGGACCCCACCGACGGGTCTCAGGACTGCAGGCTGCTGCCTGGGGATGGGCGGGACACAAGGGCTTTTGTAGCTCTGGCAACGTGGGCGCTTCCGGCCACGGGGGTGGGGGCTGTCCTGTCCTGTCTGAGCCTGTCCTTCTGTCTCTGCCTCCTGCCCATCCAAGTGTCCCCCCAGGGGCCCCCGCGTTGCAGAGTAGCTGCTGACGTCCTTGTTGCAACAGCGGAGTCCAAGCCTTGCTCTGGAAAGATTTAAATTGTGAAAGTGAAAGTAGATCAGGGAGACGCTGAACCAGTACCGGGTGTGGGGGTGTAGTATGCTTGGTATCCAGCACAGCGGGAGGATCAGGCAGGTGGATGGTGACTAGGAGCCCAGCCTGGTGAATTTAAGAGGAATTTGTCTCAAAATTTTAAAAAAGGGTTGGGGGCTGAGGGAGTAGGAAGGTCCTGGGTTCAATCCCCACTACAGCCCCTACAAAAACCAAACAATAAACAGAACCCAGAGGAGAGAAGACAGCTAGGAGCCCGGGCTCCCCTAATGCCAGGAAGCCAAAGGGGAATGAGGAGCTCAGACTTGCCTGGGGAGGTCGGTCCCCTTTTACACAAGGAGCCCTGGAGACGAAGTCAAAGTGTTTGCCCAGTGCGGCGCCCACACACTTGGGCTGGTTCTTGCCCAGGACCCACACAGAGCCCGGGTCCCAGCTCCTAGGAGCCCAGCCTCCTCTAACCCGGGCCTGGGCCGGCGGGCTGCTGCGTGTGTCCTGCTCTTCCAGCCTGGACAGACACTGAGAGGAACCAGCCCAGGACGGTGACTTTGTCCTCAGTCAGCGGGCACAGGGTCGTGGATCGTGTCCAGAGTGAGTTCCAAGAGGCACCAGAGAGCCACGTGGTCCCTACCCGCTGTGCTACAGCGCATTCTCAGGCCCAAGGCCAGTGAGAAGTCCCTGGTGATGTCCAGAGGAACACAGGCCAGGGGAAGCTTTCTGGGCAGCTGGGAGCTTTCCCAAGGCTCCTCTGTCCTCTGAAGTTTCTCTAAATGCCTGCAGTCTCCTGAGGCCTGACTTGGGGTGAGGCCTGCTGGGGTCCCCTAATGGAACCCATTGGGTGCCAACCCTGTGTTGGGAGGACCCTACACCACGAGAGGTAGGAATCCTTACATTTTGCCTCACTTAGGAAAAAAAAAAACAAAAAAAACAAAAAAAAACCCCTTTTAAAGTAGAACATACACAGCATAATACTGATAAGAGAAGAATCCTGAAATTCCAGAGTTAGGTCACTGCAGGAAGAGGGGAAGGAAAAGATAAGAGTTTATATTAATTGACAGCCTCCAGCTAAGCCAGCATGGGAAAAAACAACTTTTCTGTCTCCTTCCCTCACGCATTGAAGGTGGCCCACTGGGGCCACATCTCCTCCTGTGGAGGTAAAACCAACAGCACACCTTTCCATGTGGAGAGCGCTGGCCTGGGCTGGCTTTGCCCTGTGCTCTCTCATGTCCAACCAATGTTGGGTCTGTGTAAGTCATTTATGTCTTTTTCTCTCCCAATTTCCAGGATAAAATCCCTGGTTCCTTAGATCCAGAGGACATTTTTCAAGCTGGGTGAGGTGGCATAGGCCTGCAATGCCAGCATTGTGGAGACTGAGGCAGGAGGGTCACCATGAGTTCCAGGGCACACAGTGCTATGCAGTGGGTTCAAGCCCAGCCTAGAATACATAGCAAGACCTTGTCTCAAGAAAACAACAATGACAACAAAAAATGCGATGGGGGATTTTACCAGCTGCTCTTTGGCCAAGTGTAGGTGGCTTAGTGATTTTACCCAGACCACTCCTCTTGTGTTTTGCTTGCACTTTCAGAGTTTAATGAACTCACTTATCTCAGAGATCTCTTGGTCTCAAAATTCTGCTTTAATATCACTAATCCCTTGAAAGCAAGCAGTTCAGTTGCTTTTACTATTTTCACACAGCTGAACTGTCACCGCTGTCTAGCTCTACAACACTTTCATGGCCTCCGACAGAGATGGGATGCAGGTCCAGGAGCAGATGTCCCGCACGGCCTCCTGCCTTTGCCTTCCAGGCCTGACAAACACCAATCCATGGCCTGTGTCTGTGGTTTTGTCCATGGTGAGCAGCTCCCATAAGCAGGATCATCCAATGTGTGGTCTTTAGGGACTGCTTTCTTTTGCTGATCTAATGCTTTGATTGCTCAACATAGCATTTTTCAATTGTTGATTTTTATGGAGGAAGAATATTCATAATAATATTGTGTGATTATTCAATTATCACACATTTGGGTGGCTTGCATCTTTTCTCTATTGTGAATAATGCTGCTCTGAATTATTTGTGTATAATTTTATATGTAAACATTTGTATGTAAATGTTTTTGTTCTACTTACCTTGGCTATAAACCTACAAATGGAATTTCTGAGCCATAGTATTTAACTTTTTGAAGATGTACCAAAGTATTTGGTAAACTACTGTATAATTTTACATTCTTTCCAGGAATGTAGCAGGCTGATGAAAAACGATGACATATCTTTAAATTAAAAATTTATTACAATTACATATACATTGCTTTGATCCCTCTCAAAATGTTCAAAATACTCCCTCTCATGAAGAACACAAGAGGCCATCATTCTTGGCATTGTGTCTTTCACTGTGGTAAGTTTTTGTATTCACTATAAAGATTCACCATCTATTTCAGTCACTTCTATGCTCTTTCTTTTGCAGCCGCTCTACTGGGTGTTATGTGATGTCTTGCTGTCATTTTGAGCTGTTCTTCTCTGGTGACCTGCTATTCAGCTTCACTTTCCCTACTTGCCAGCCTTCTATGTGTCTTTTCCTGAGAGTTGCCTACATAAATGGTTCCACTTGCTTTTTACTTGGGTTACTGGATTTTTCCCTGTTAAGCTGTGAAAAGGAGTTTTAACTGTGTGAGTTAGGGTTTACTTCCTCATCCCTCTGATGAGTTCTGAATCTTCCCAGGATTAAAGTAATCTACTTTGTAACACGCCCGCAGACTGTCAGTGATGTGGACTGTCAGAGAAAATAGATGGACAGATCTATCTGTGTCGTGCATTTGGGCCACTTCTTAGAACACGTGAGCCTCCACCTCCACCACACTCAAGTAATCAGGGGATTTTGACATCTGCTTTTCCCATGCCTGCTGCTCTGGCTCCTTTGGTTAGCACTGATAAGTCCAGACCCTACTCATGGACTGCAGACCGTTGGGCTGGCTGCTCAGCAACCTGAAAACAGCCTCTGCTTGGGTTTGAACTTCTTTCTCACGCAGAGATTTCCACCTTCCAACCCTGGCTGTAGGTCAATGATGTTTGATGTTGGAAACCCTCAGAGGCCTCCGCACCGGCGATACCAGGTACCCTGCCCCATAGGTCTTCTCTTGCTAGTGACACCACACCACAGCCAGGTAAGGCATAAAGAAAGGCATAAAGAAAGATGATTCACTGGGCTCCCTCTTCTGTGGAAGGTGGAAGGGCCACATCTAGAGATATTCTTGCAGACAGAGCCCTGACGTGGGGTAAAGCAGCACATGGGAAGAAGCAGAGACCTTGACAGAGACCTAGCAAAACCGGCTGTGATGCTAAATCCACTCTCAAAACCAGTTAACCACAGGTTCTTTTGGGCTTGGTGGGTGCCTCCTTGAGAGCAGAGCACTAAGAATCTCCGACAGGCCCCACCCAGCCTCCTTTCTTAATATCTTGCCGTGGGAATTACAATTCAATATGGGTTTCAGAGGGTCAAAGTGTTACCTACACTGGGAAGATTCTAAGCACTGATCAAATATTTAATACCAAAGACTACCAAAGGTCACCCAAGAGTAGATATATTAAAGAGTCCTGACTGTATTAAAACACTAGAGGGTCAGGAATATAGCTCAGGGCTGGGGATTTAGCTCAGCGGCAAAAGCGCCTGCCTGGCAAGCGCAAGGTTGTGAGTTCGGTTCCCGGTACCGGAGAAAAACCAAAAAAAAAAAAAAAAAAAGGAATATAGCTCAGTGGAATTGTGCCTGCCTGGCAAGCACGAGGTGCCAAGTTTGATTCTTAGTACAAAAAAAAAAAACCAAAAAAACCCCATTAGATTTGAAGTTCAAATCCTCACAAGAACATTCTAGTTTCAACTGACTTCTCTAGACAAGATCGGGCACTTTCAGGGTGGTATGGCCATAGACCAGATGACTTTACTAGAAAACATTAATGAATGACATTATGAAAATTCTATAAAATGTCTTCTCAAGTCACTCTGTGAGACCAGCATTACCATGATATCCAAACAAGACAAAGAGCTGACAAGCAAAGAAAACTAAAATCAATGTCCTTCATGAACATAGTTGAAAAATTCTAAAAGAATCTTAGTATACTGAATCCAGTAATATGCAAAAAGGATAGCACTTCATAAGTGAGTGGGATTTTTGCTAATAATGCAAGACTCATTTAACATTTTTTTAAATTTTTTTTTTATTTTAAAGATAAAAGGAGGGAAACATTAACAGACATACAACATTTTACAACATATCACAAGCACAATACAGACAATACAGAGTTACAAACAAAGTGGTAGGGAATTAACAATGGTGGTTGTATTACATATTGATATCTTCAAAGTGGCTTCTCATGAAAACAGATATAAGCATGCAATACTGGTCAACCAAAGACTCACTGACAGTTTCTTTCAGCATAGAAATAGAAGACAGAAGAACAACCATGTTATCTATCCTGTATATACATACATACAACATTTCTCCTTCTTTCCCTTCTCTTTTCCCACATCCCAGAAGCCCTTTACTCTTCAGTGGTTTCCTATCATTTCACAGTAAGACTCATTTAACATTAAAAACTTATGTAATGGAATGCATTATATTAACAATCTGAAAGAAAATATAGTTATCTCAGAGATGGGAAACACCATAGA